TTGTGCCTATATTTGTATTGCCAGTTATAACAGAATGACATAAGAAATTCTAAACTGAGGAGTTTCAAACTCCTTCCTGCAGGCCATCTTCTGCTACAGTGATTGTGCAATCCAGCCCAGGACACATAGGATATGTCTACATAGCAAAGTTATTTTGGAATAACAGCCATTATTCCGAAATAACTATATGAGCGTCCACATGGCTGCTTATTCTGAAATCTGTAAACCTCATTCTATGAAGTTCTGGCTTGACAAAGCCCTGGCTGGGTTGATTTAGTTGGGATTGGTTCTGCCTTGGGCAGGGGACTGGACTTGATGACCTCCTGAGATCTCTTCCAGCTCTATGATTCTATGAAATAGCTATTTTGGGTGCTCCACTGCTGCCGTTTTGAAATAGAATGGTCCTGGTGGGGAGCTAAATTATTCTTCCCCGGTGCCTCCTGGGGTTCTAAATTGAGACAGAATATCTACATTAGGGAAGCCTGCCTCAGACTAATTTTGAGACTTTCCTGCAGTGTAGACGTGCTATTTTAAAATAAGCTATTGCGGAATAATTATTCCAGAATAGTTTATTTTAAAATTAATGTGCAGTGTAGACATAGTCCTAGTGGTCTGGGTAAAGGAATCAGTTATAGTGCCCTACACTTTCCCCTGCGGCTCTTGTCACCACAGGGCATGGTGGGGGAAGGCGACAGCTGCCAGCGTAGCATACCAGCTCCACGCTCCATCCCCAGTGATTCCCAAAGCCATGTACTAGGGGATGGGGTGCCATGGAGGGGAGAGGGTGGAGTGATGGTGGGAAGTAACGGATGATTTTACAAAATGAAATGGTAAAGATCAAGGAGAATGAAAGAAGGAGCAAAGATGTATTTTGGGATTAGAGGAGGAGGGCAGAAGATATGAAGAAAAACCTCTTTTGTTATCTACTGGGGCGGGTGGTGATGTGAGTTTTGCATTTGTGCTGTAATTTCATTAGAATTCTAACTTTATTTCTGTCTGCATATTTGGGGATACAATCCTCATACCATTAAGCGTTCTGGAATCATCTTTTATAATGGTACACTATGTCATTATAGTCTATTAAACTGAATAATACAAGACATTTAAACATATTCATATATTTATTCATATATATTCACATTTAAACACATATTCCCACAGCCAGAAATGACTATTATCATCTTGTTCTACCTCCTCTACTACACAGGCCATAGAACTTCCATGATAAAAAGTCTAGGCTACAGCATATCTTTTAGAAAAACATCAATGTTGATATAAAAGTTCAAAAGCTTCAGAGGTAGTAGCACCTTAAATACTAACAAAACATGTGGATGATATCATGAGTTTTCATGGGCAAAACCCACTTCTTCAGCAGACAGTGATGGGGAATCCACTGTGAACCTTGGTAAATTGTTGCTACGGCTAAATTACTTACTGTTAAAAATGTATGCCTTATTTCTAATCTGAATATGCCAAACTTCAATTTTCTGCTCTTGGATAATGTTGTGCCTGCTGTTAAATATTTGTTCCCCACATAGTTACATATAGACTACAGTTAAGTCACCCTTAACGTTTTTGTTAAACTCATTGGATGAGTTCCTTGAGTCCATCATTAATTCATTAATCATTCTTATGTCTCTTCTCTGAGCCCTCTCCAATTTATCAACATCCTTCTTGAATTGTGCTGGACACAGTATTCCAGCAGTGAATTCATCAGTGCCAAATACAGAGGTAATATAACCTCTCTACGGTTATGTCTACACTGGTGGGTTCTTGCGCAAGAATAGCCGTTCTTCCGCAGAGTGTCCACACTGCCCGCCTGCTCTTGCACAAGGAGGTTTACAGTACAACGTCAGAAGAGAGGGCTTCTTGCGCAAGAGCTACGCTCTTTTCTAACAAGTGTAAGCCCTCTTGTGCAACAGCTCTTGTGCAAGAAGGCAGTGTGGATGTGCGGCAGGGGTTTCTTGTGCAAGAAAGCCCTATGGCTAAAATGGCCATCAGAGCTTTTTTGCGCAAGAGAGCATCCACACTGCCATGGATGCTCTTGCACAAAAGCACATGGCCGTGTGGACGTGTTCTTGTGCAAGAGTTCTTGAGCAGGAACTCTTGCGCAAGAATCCGCCAGTGTAGACATAGCCTACTTCTACTTCACATTCCCCTCTTCATGCATTCAACGCTTGTATTAGCTCTTTTGGCCATAGGGTTGCACTGAGACCTCTGATGTTCAATGACTATCACTTTCTCCCCTTCTACTTCACCTAAAAAAAATCTTTCCCAGAGTGACTGCTTCGTAGGACAGAGTACCCCATCCTATAGATATGGTCTATGTTCTTTGTTCCTAAAAGTACACATTTACAATTAGCCATATTAAATGAATGTGCTTATGCCAAATTTATCAATTGATACAGATCTTTCTGAATCTGTGACTTGTTCTCTTCATTATTTACAACCCCCTTTGTTTGTTTTTGGTCATTTGTAAACTTTATCAGCGATAATTTAGTTTTCTTTCAGGTCATTCACAAAAATGTTAAATACTAAGGGCCAAGAACTGATCCCTGCAGGACTCCACTAGAAACAGGTTTGATGATGATTCACTATATAAAATTACTATTTGAGACATATAATTTAGCCAGCTTTTACATCATTTAATGTATGCCATATTAATTTTATATTGTTCTAGTTTTCTCATCCAACTGTCATGTGATATCAAGACAAAGTATTATATCAATATTGTTATCTTTATCAACCAAATTTGTAATCTTATAAAAAAAGATAGCAATTTAATTTGACAGGTTCACTTTTCCATTAACTCATGTTCACTTGCATTTATTATCTTGTATTCAGCTGAACTGATAATCAAAAAATGTATTTATAATTTGTTGAATGCAGACAATGCACACTGTACAAGACATGGATGAAGACTGAAAAGTTTAGACTGTCCAAAAGACATACACAGATAACACAGAGAAAGTTGTTAGATTATGTTTTTCCTCTTGCCCTCACCTTGTTCCCATTACCTCCGAGGTCAGTTGTCCCAGACTCTGACACTTGCTGCCATCAGGTTGTTTTCTGCAGTGTAGACATACCCTAAATTTATTTTATTTGTTTATTTCCCCTGTGGTTCTGTCTACCAGTATTTAGCCCCCAAACTATTAATTTGATTGTAGGTACCAATTTTCACTCATCTTGAATTTTTTAATAAACAATAAATTCCAGGGATTTTAAAAAATAAAACAAAATGTGAAAACATAGTGGTTTGCTGATCCCTAAAATATTTGTCCACCTTTGTAAAGAATGTTGCATTCTTCCTTATTATTATCCTCTCTCAAATCTCCTGGAGTGATGCCTATAGACAACTGAGACCACTGCCTTGTGCACTGATTAATATTGTCTCATTGTTCTCCTGCACCGAAACCAGCTATGTTTGCTCTTAAATCAGGGATGGGCAACCACAAATAGGAAGTGGGTCACGAGTGGCCTTCCTTCACCTGGGTGGGCCACAGCAGTTTAGGGCCCCACTGGAATGTCACCTGCGGCCCCCATGTGGCTACTTCTCCTGCACTGGAGCCCCAGATCCTTGATCCTCGCACTTACCTACTCCTCCCCTCAGCACTTTCGGAGCACCTCAAATGGCCTGATTCGTGCTCCATCCTCACTCCTTCCCCTCCCTCTTGGAGCTGGAACAGCTGATTCACAGATTTCCTACTGCAGCTCTGGGAGGGAAGAGGAACAGCCGAGATGGAGCCAAAATCAGACAATTTGCGGCTCCTCTGAAAGTGCTGGAAGGGAGGGAAGAGTGAATCGTAGGAAGTGTGGGGTTCTGGTGCTTCAGTGCGTGAGGCTCGTGAGGGATGGGGGCAGAGAGTCCTCACACCACCGTGGCACCCCAATAGGCTGTATATGGCCTGCGGTCCATAGATTGCCCATTGCTGCCTTACGTTGTAATATTTTTGGGGACAGTGCTGTCTTTTTGTACTGTTTTTAGCCAGTGGGTGGATCTTGAAAATCATCAAAATTATGTTAGGTAAGTTATGGGGAAGGCCCCCCCCTCCCACCTCCAACCGAGTGGGGCTCTGTTCCCTGATTGGAGCTTTGCCCCAATACACACAGCTCTCACTCTGGGGCCTCCTGGAGCTGTAGGGAATAGGAAGCGGATGCACCAAGTCTTGGG